CTATCAGGAAACATTTGAAGAAGACTCCTCAACTTTATCACCATATCTCGCAAATCGACAGACGCTGGATTCTTGATGATTCTGATGAGAAGCACCAGTCCGCAGGTCACTGCATGGTACGAATCAAACCAGAAGTGGCTGGTAAGAACATCCCTTTCCTGCATCTCGATCAGCGTTGCAATAGTCTTGTTGTTGCTATCTTCGCAGATGTTCATTCGATGGTCGGCATCAGACCCTGAAAAGGTAGCATTAAACAGGTACGATTGAGTCAATAAGACGATGATGCAATGATATCTCAACCGTAAGTACAGCGTGGCGCGCAACAATGATGGGGGGATTGCTGCTGCAGGTATGGTCAGGTGCTGAGGCAGGCTCTCCCACCACCCATAAAGGTCTTGAATCAACCGATCGATAGCATTGCCATTATCGCAATGTTTCTCGGAGTTGCACTGAAGGGTACGAGACAGAAGCCGTGTAAGGCGTGCTGAGGCGAAGGCATACATGGGCGGCATGTTTGGGGCTCCGATGAGGTTCTATGACGTGATGTTAGTTGAGGATTACATTTCAATGACTTGCGCTGGATTACATCTGAAGGCGAACCGATGGTACTTAGATCAACGGTGATTCCTAACGATCTCCCCAGAACGCTGGTGAACCACTGGTCCAAGTCGCATAATGACCACCAAAGCTTGGTTTTCTGTTCCGCCCACAGGGGACTTTCGTCGTCAGTTGCTACATGCAACCCAAGTGACTGGGCAATTCTGATGGCGCTGCCGAGGACGACCCAAGAAGTGTTCCGCTGGCTTTTCTTTAGCCGGTACAAGGCCTAAGCTCAGTGAGCTGCATTAGCTGAGTTCTTGATCGGTGAAGTAGAGGTAAACAGCATTATGACTGACCATAACAATAATCGCCTGGATACTCTCGACACTCCCCTCCTCGATGACACTCTCCATCTTGTTTGAGGCAAGCTCAAAATGATGTGGATCGTCGTCAATGAGAGCAACGATGAGCTGAATCATGGCTTGGGTCGACACGCTCACTTCTGCATTTCCGTGGGCTCTCACTATTGCATCGAAAAGCTTTTCTGGGCCGAGGACGTAAAATACGCAGTTGACGAAGCGAAGAAAGACAACGCTGCATCTTTCGCATGTCTTTCTGTCGGGAAGTGCTGCATCCTGTTTATTCGACAGCGGTTCGCCTTCACGCAAGTCAAAGGTGCCACTGGGTTGCAGTGCCGCGAGCCGAGGGAAGCTTCGTGTGATGCACAGGCTGACTTTGGACTGAAGGACCGCGTAGCTTGAGGCACCGTTGAATCCTAGGGGGCGATGAATAAATGCGAGATTCTTGTTAGACCGAATCGCAAGTCTACTCACTTCGCTGGCGTGTTGCATCTGAGATGAACGAGCCATCTGACATTGGTGACGCCGAGTCCTTAGCAGCGACACCCGGTAGTAAGTGCCCGCCATCGACCGGCGAGCATGACGAAGTATCCGCAGGTGGGACTTGCTGTGCAAGATCCGTGGGAAAGTCAGGTTGTTGGGATGCCGCCTGGAGTTTGCTGACAAAAGTGCGCAGGCTTTCAACGCTTAATGGGATACCAGGAGCATAGTGCTGGACAATTGCGGCCATCAGTTCGAACTGCTCCTTCGAAGTGTGATAGTAGGGACGGATGCTGGCTTCATCAGTGACAACGCAATCTAATCCGAGGCGCTCACACCGGTGACAGGATCTGGACGTCGGTTTGTCGCACTCTCGTAGTCAGTACGAGACTCAGTCATTGATGTAGCTCCATCGCTCACTTTGATCTTTCGCCGTCTGCAATTGACGCAGCTAGAGGGCAGCCGACCGGCTCGACGCGTTGTTGTACTCATGCTGGCAATGACGGAATCGCTTCAGATCGAGGCACGTCTGCGATTGAGATGATTCCGATTGCCCAGCGAGGAAGCCATCGTCACCAGACCACGGTATCACTTAGAACGCAAAGGGCAGGCCAGGAGCCTTGGAGCCATGAGCATGGTCATACTCAGTGGCAACACTTGAATGCTGTGGGGATCTGTGCTCGCCTGTGGTCCCGGCGTTGTAACCGTATTAGCAAGGCCCATTTGGAGTGATGTTAGGCACGAAACATTGAGATATGCCGGCTAGATCAGACTTCCTTCAACTTAGGGACTATAGAAATCATTATTGATGCATAAGCTTCTTATTCTGTATGACTCGTGTTGAAAAGCGTCATGATCTCGAAACATCACGGGTGATAGGGGAGCGGCATGGCGACGGAGGGCGGACAATAGGGTACAAACAGAATCTAGGGGAGAGAGACCCACAGCGGTCACCGCTCTCCGTCCCATGCCGCATTCTTTGAGTTCGGCAGTCGAGCACGGTCTCCGCGCTGGACACACCCATCGGTGACCGTGGATCCTCGATCCTTGTACTCAGGCGCTATCGGCGATCTGGGAAGTACTCACTTCTGTCTGCGAGGATATGAAAGCCTAGTAACGAGAAATGATAAATTACCGTATTACGGAGAAGAGAAAATGTTGTGTCTTCATTGCCACGCTTCGAATCGTTGCAGAGGATTCAACAAACCAGTGAACACAATTCCAAATGAGGCATGGAGACTCAGAACGCGACGGTCAATTGGCACTATTCCAGTCCCCAAGTCGCTGCCATCATCTCTGGAATCTTATGTTTGGTATATCAAAATGACATCAAACTGCCTCCAAACATTGGACTCTAGACTGACTCTAGTAGCTGGCGATCCCTCTCATTTACAATGTGATCTTCCACCCTCTGGCCCGAGTCCCGGGGCCTTTCTTGGCCAAGTTCAACGACTTCTGGCACGCATACCAACTATACACAAATGTGAGACATGAGACGCTCTGTAAACTTCATGATAAATACGGTAATCACTACAATCTGCTGCTCTCAATGGTAGTGGCTAACATGGATGGCTAGGTCCTTTGGTGCGCTTGGGCCCGAGCACTGTCTCTGTTGACACCACAGAAGGATTCCAAAAGGTTTACTCGGCGACGTCCCCAATCGACAAGTCGCCATTCTATCAGAGCTTCACCCCAGGTTTCCAAAGTAGTTTCTCTTCGATGGGTTCTGCGTACAAGGAGAAGAAGTCTATTCTTTCTCAAGCATTTGCTCAGAAGAAGCTAGACGCCATGGAAACAGCATTCACGGAGCACATTTGGAAGCTTTGCGAGGTGATGAAAAGTCAATCTGAGGTCAATTTGGATGATTGTTTATCAGCCTTGACAGTTGACATCTTATCGGACGTTTGTTTTGGCGAAACATTTGACTTACTTCACAATCCCACAGAGAAGACGAAAATCAGCGATGGCTTAGTGCAAGCAGCAAAATTTGTCTCAATGGTATCAAACGCCTTTGATTGTTCCGTACTTTGGGCAATTTGACTAAGAGAGTTTCAGGAAGGTACACTATGGAGATGGCCTTTGTTGCAGCGCCTCATTCGAAAGTTCTCGTATAACCATACGACTCGGGGCTATCCAGCGAAGGTGAGTCTGCCTTCTGTCTCAAGCAGCATCGTCAACTGAAATGCCCAGATGGCGATGAGCGCCATGATCAAACAGAGACAGAATCCTTCCGGCAGGCAAGATATATTCAATTACCTACTTACGGCTAAAAGTCCCACCACCGGCACGCCGTTTCCTGATCGCGAGCTATTCGGTGAAGCGATCGTCATGTTTGTAGCAGGGTCTGATACCACATCTACTGCGCTATTGACAATATTGTGGCATCTGTTGGCTCATAAAGATGCATACGACAAGGTGGCCTTAGAGGTTAGATCTACAGTCACGACGCGTGATGATTTGAACTACCACAAGATTCAGCACCTACCATATCTAAGAGCTGTGATTGAAGAAGGATTGAGAATCTTCCCACCGAATGCAGGTTTCATTCCGAGACAGGTATTCCAATCTGATGGAGCCTTCGTTCTCCACGGTATATCTATGCCAGTGGGAGTAAGTCGATATTATCGTCTACCTCAACCTCAAGAGCGCGGACACTGACATCGTCCCTTCTCAGACGGAAGTCGGCGTTGCAAACATGGCGATGCATAGGAACCCCAAGTATTTTGAACGACCTAACGACTTCATTCCAGAACGCTGGATCGGCGATGGCCAGTCTGCGGTAAAGGATAAATCAGCTTTCTCTCCCTTCTCCAAGGGCCCAAGGGCGTGCCTCGGAAGAACGTAAGGGGTCCCGTTTTAGCTTCTCACAGACCATTGCTAAACTTTATTCCAGAATGGCATACATGGAGATGTCTTTAGCTTTGGCAGCAATGTTTTTGGAGATGGACATGGAATTTGAGGACCCCGGTTCTGAGGCAAGACAGGGTTACACAGCGACGGATTCTTTCGTTCTCGTACGACCAAAAGTTAGGATCGTTGTGAAATCTCGCCGCTGAGAGGACCCAGTCAAATTGGAGGGCATTTGAGTCTCTTCTCTGGTGGAAAGCAGCCCCTCTGTTGCGATCTCAGCAAAGCGGCAGGGGCTGCAGAAGCCGCGACTGGAAGAAGGCACAGGCCATGAGACATGTTCACAAGAACATGCTGTAGAGACCGATCGGGTTCGAGATCTTAGTTGCAAAGACGGGAGCAATTTAGGTTGAAGGAGTTGATCTCATTCACCTCTGCTAATCTGATTACGGGAATCGGCGAGGCCCCAGCCAGGATGCTCCCATGCATGAGAGTCTCGAATACTTTAGTCACCAGGGATAGCAATGAAGAGAACCATATGGCGATGTAGAACAGAATGGTCTTCGGATAGTAATTATAGGAATATCTTGCCAAGAACCCACGCCAATATCCCACATCAGCCGCCCATGTTGAATAAAGTAGTAAAGAAAATGGTATCTAGTAAGTAAAGAGTGATATCTCCAACGCCAACGTAATCTCTGGGCTTAATAGGCCGTCCCTCAATGGTTCAAAGTTTCTTCGTATCAATACAGCACTATCTGTAGAGGGACTGACTCATGAGAAACCCCTTGCCTCAACTTTCTGTGAGGAGACCTGCACAATATCGCACTTAACCTCGATCGGCGCTCCTGGCTGCAGCTCGATCTCGTCATCAGAGACTCTCCTTCCCGCTTCGATTCTTGTTTCGACGACGGCGTGGTGGTTTGGTCTATATCCGCCCAATTCGATAGACTCCTGTTGCCGTAATGGAGACGGCATCTTATCGGTCTGACTGGTGAAATCCGGGCTATCTCTCGAGGCTTGGATGGGCAGCCCTGTCTCGCGGCTCGCATCAGAGTGGCTCAAATCGTAGCTGGCGATGCCATAGAGATCAGCCTTGCTGTCCGCCGAGCCAGTTCGTCGTTTCGAGTAGCGGGCAGAGTAGTGATTCGGGTTGCCAAGTGTACCACCGAGCTCGGGATCGCGGTGGCGTGAGGTACTTTCGGTGTTTTCAGAATAGTCTCCGTTCTTGTGGTATTTCGAGGATTTCGCAATACGACTCGACAGGGCGGGAATGAATCGAGAGACCAAGGGTCGGAATGTCGGTAGGCAAGCGCAGACGAGTCCACAGCAGAGCTCGCCGATGGACCAACCGGCGGTCTCGACATTTTGCCAAGTGAAGTCTTCTTCGAGCTTGAGGAATCGGATTCGGATGAAGGATATGGTACATGTGCTATTCAAAGATTAGTCGGAGCCCGGAATAGTCGTGTGATCACGGGACAAGACATACAAAAAGCCCAAACAGAAGATACCAAGCAAGACATATTTCTGGCCTCGGGCCAGATTCAGTCTGTGAATAACTGGCAGCGGCAGCACAAATACAATAATGTCGGTGATGATATTGCCTGCTGCGTTGATGTACCATTGGGGGTAGTTCGGGATGCATTTGCCATCAACGGTCTTGTCCCAGAATGCCGGGATAGGGGTACAGATGAAGATCTCGACAAGGATCTGCGAAATGCTCCATGCGCCGACTATTACCATGGCCGCAATGAAGACCTTCTTCATCTTTTGGACGGCCAGGACTCGGTAATATTGAAAAAGGAAGGTCATCTTGATACCAGCCAATGCTGCATTATAGAATACAATGGTGACGTAGAATGTCTTCGAAGTGTTAATAGGTGTGCGAAATGAATTGTATCAGACATCAACTGACCTTCATGTAGTCTTGAATTTGTTCCGAAGTAAGAAAGTAAACATGATGACCGAGGCCATTTCTGGTGTCTTCAGGTTGTTAGATACCATCTAATGGAGCCGTAGATATATATGACTCACTCAGTGCGACAGCCAAGCCGCATCCAAGAACCAACAGCTACAGAGTTGTGGTCAGAATCAGGTTCAAGGGATGGAGAGGACTTTCCAAAACCTACAAAAGCAAAGACGGATGCCCAATCATCCATACCAAATTGCCGTATCACGAATATTCTGGTGTACACTCGTATTGATACAGCCAAGAAGGCAACTGAAAGCACAAAGCTCGTGACGCCGACGACGATTGGTACCCGCGAGTCGTCCGCGCTCATTCCTGGAGGGACCTCCATGCTGCCTGTGAACTCTCCCTGAACAATGTTGACGGCTATGCTTGGTCGGTAGTGGAATTAAGAAGCATCGATAGTCCACGAGGACTGGCACGTGGCAATGTGCTTTTTCGTTCCCTTCAACGGCGGCTGATGATGGGGATAGGTGTGGGACGTCAGACGACGAAATGCATGGGAATCTAAACGCCGAGGGATGCTGTCTTTGTATATTGACGAAAACTTGGCTTTGCCAGCCTTGACTGGTCTTAGATCGAAGGGGCACCTATGCGCGGGTGTGGTTCGAGAAAGGGGCAGAAGACAGAGAGGGTGTGAGACATCAACGAGAAGGAGCTGCCCGCAAAGGCTGCTACACTAGCACGCCTCGCACGCTCGAGGGACCCTCAGGTTTTCGATATTCCGTGTCTCATATGGCTTAGACGTGGAGACCACTGTGGGATCGACGAATCTATTTCCAAGGATACTGTCGATTGCCTTTGGGCAGAAAAAGCGCAATGCAGGAGCCGTGCGCGCGGTAGACTGCTCGGAAGACAAGAAGACAGCTGGGCGGAACTAGCACAACGGTCGTGGCTTCTTCTCTGATGACACCCTTTGTGCAGTTTTTGTACACTTGCATGACGACCTAACGAATTGGCAAATGGGGAGTGACACCTTGTTTACTAGCGGAAAAGCCGTAGCGTGTAAGCTATGCCGGGACGGCTCCGCGTATCGTTATGAAGGTTTAGACGAACTAACGGGCCTTCGATTCGTCATGTTAGACTACACCCGGAAGGTGGGAAAAGGAGAGGAGGGTGGCAGGCAGTGGACAGTCTGCGGTGTTGGAGGTCTGCCAGCCTAGGAACGCAACGTTATTCTCGACGCGCAGATGACGGCAATCTCCCGGCTTTGCTGGCACGCTGGCACGCTGACGGCGCATGGATTTGGCGGCACTGCATTCCTCTTGTCGCGGGCCAGGGCGGCAGGCATTCTGGGATTTCTTCCATTTTGGAGATGCGGCGATTCAGCTGCCATCGATAGAGAGACTTGCAATGTCTCAGACCACCTCCTGGCATGTGCAAATATGGAGCTGGGAACTTGGGAGTCGGCCCCGAGTTGGAGTCGATGTCTGTGTGTCCAAGAGATAGCCCAATGATGATCGGCTGGACAGGGTGATAGGCTCGAACCCCGGGGATCCAAAGTCGTATACCGTCCCTGCTAGCCCGGGATAGGGACCGGGGTAACTCCTGTCCGCTTCTCGGTGAAAGAGGAGACTATCGCGGGGATTTATGTCGCCAGGGTCGCGGCTGACTCGCATTTGAGAGGTAGTGGTGGTTGTTGGCGCAATTGCCAGGCATCGGCGATCACTGCTGACGGGCAGGAAAAAGAAATTGGGCATCAAATAGACTACGATGCCTTCTGCCGGGCCGAAGACAGATATTGAATAAAGCCATGGACGAGTGACCTTGACTAAACTATCTGTTCATCTGACCGGCAGACTGACTTTGGCCTCCAGAATCGGGTGAAACAGAGACAGTTCAAAGGTCCCTTTTCGTAAGGCCAGCCAGATCATAGATGGCTACTTTACCCTCTTGCGTAACAGTGTGCCGACAGCGACTCGGCTACGGAAATCATCTGAAAAGATGATGATTATGGTCGTATCTGTTTCCAGCAAATTTCTCGCTCTCGCACAAAAGAGGTAGTATTTTAGGACCTTGGGCGTCTCAGCCGCGCTCTCACCGGTGCCGACTACTCACTACGGGGTATGGGAGGGCAGATTCGTTATTGAAGCTCAACCGAGCAAATTCGGCGACGGCGGCCGAGCCGGTGGAGGGAGACCCACCTAAGTTCCTTGTTCTTCGCTCTCGTCGTCGAATCCAGCCTTTCCAGCTTGGCGTTGAAGGACCCTGGCACGCCTGGCAAGTCTGGCAGCCTCTTCGAAGCGTGGATCTGGTAAATCATGCCACTCAATGAATCGCATTGGTTAGAACCTGGCAGGCGAGGGTCTGAGCGTAACCACGCCGTCGGAGGGACGAGCCGGGGGGGAAACGGGCAATGAATACTCTGCAACGCCTCTCGACTTGATTTGGACGACCGTCGATACAAAGGCCCGTTTAGCTCCGACGTTTGGCCCGACGATGGCGTGTCTTGCTACGCATTGTTTGTTCTCTTCGTACCATATTCAAGCCACAGCTGCGGCAACGAGAAATAAACTTCAGCCCATTGCCACTAGATGAGCCAGTGACGTTCCCCGCGGAGTGAAGGATCAGCGGCTTTATTGACGGACAAGGTGGGATATGGAAAACCTGCTGAGAAGTTTGACAGGTACATCTTTCTGCACTGCAGAGCACGGTCCCAGTGTCAAGCGTGTCACCCGAAGTGCAAGACAGATAGACGATGGGCATGCTCAGAAAAGAAGCCTGCCGGGAGCATCAGCACGACTATCCGAACGAATTACAGATAGGAGAGATTTCGAGAGGCACCCGAAGACCGGAACTAGCCCCGCTCATCGCCGGGACTCTGGAAAAGGGCATCACGTCAGCCCGCGGCACAGCTGATAGGTTCATCGTAAAGCGCATTGAAGCATTTGTCCCACTACTGTATAGGCACCTCAAAGATGGCCCTTTCTCCCTTCCCCGCTGCCAGTTATAACATTGAACATCAAGTGACTTGACGGCGGAAGGTCCGAGAGCTCAGCATCATCACTGCGATCCTACACGCCTATCTCACAGGAACGAGTAATATGTTCTATCGAAGCAAACAACACGACGTCGACTTCGATCTTGCAACTTTGCAAGTGGGCTTTGTCGGTGCGCAATGTCCACCAGAAAAGGTTCGTCTCGCGAGATCTACTGGCTCATGAAAGTTGAAAGGGGTCAAAGCCAAACTCCATCCGGACTTCGTTTACCAGACTTTAGCGCCAAGGGTCTGCTTACTACTTTGAGCGTGTTTTTCTGGAGACACGCGGGGCAGTACAGGGCGTCGTTGAAGATCGCTGCATGAGGGTGCCTGCACTCTGACGGCTCCATCAGTACTGAAGAATAATGACAAACCGTCAAACGCGGTCCGGATCCGAACCCGGCCTTTGCGGCTCGACGGACGTTTCTTAATGATGTGAGACGTTCGAATAGGTTGCAACAGTCGTCCGGCACACGCCCGGAAGCAATTTGGGTCGAGCTCCGCAAGTTCAGGCGATGTTTTGGGTGAATGAATCGCATCCTAAAATTGTGGGTGTTTTTGTTCCCTGTGACACCTTGGTCAGTTAGGGGGGCGTCTCCAGGAACCCGTGGTCCATGTGCGATGCAAGAACTGTAGCAGCTGTCGATGGTGTCTCTGCATCATCACCTGCATATCCAACTTGGCCAACTTGGCAGGGGAAGGACTGAATCGTTCATCTGCTCAAGTAATCCACGTGCTGCTGCTGTGGTCCGCGGAGGACGCATGGAGAAGTTCCACCGAGTAAGGTAGAGTAAGCTTACACGAACAGGATCCAGGAACAGAATGCTTATCCTGTGGATTCATGCAGTTGCGAAACGTGCTTCCTTCGCGCGAGATGTGCCTGTGCCTTGTTTTCGTTCCTCCTCGACACCTCCACTTTGCCCCTTCAACATGATCCCAAGCGAATAGTGGCTATCGCGGTGCAACACCTACGGTAGATGGGGGGATGAAGCAGCATCGTGCTGGTTCCATCAGTCATCATTCTTGTCATGCTGTGCATACCCTCGTATTGAAATGAGCGGAGACAATGAAGTTTCCGAGTCTCCGATGAGTTGCACATTCGCGCCAGACAATTCAAGCCTCCAAGTAAATAATCCTGTTCTCCGATGCTCCTGTGGTGCTGCCTGCCATCGTTCAAATCTCAGATGCTGGGATACCCCAAAGAGCCTCGAAATGAGCCCAAGACGGCAGTGCGTAAGGCTTCGGTAGAGCATCGGCCACCTGTAGTCATCCTCGGCACTCGTCTCTTTGGGTGCCAATGCTTTATTTATCAATTCATCAATGTTCCCTTTCATCGTGTTGATCGTCGCCGCGCAAATCCCGGTGACATATGAGCCGGTTGTAACGATCGGTGGTAAGCTTCACTGAGGCCCGCGCATAGAGTTCATCTCTCCGATCCGGAGTCCCGCGGGTGTATCTTCTTGGCCGATGTCACGCTCAACGGCGTGAAGAGGAGGCTCACGGACTGTACGGCCAGTCTTTGTTGTTACCTGTCCGTGATAGCGTTTGCAGGTAACCTGCTCCGCGGACAGGCTCCGGGCAGTACGGTAACTGTGTTGTTAAACGTTCTCGCGCTTATGAGAATTCAAAGAAACACGAAGGTAACACAACAATCAATGACTCGTTGATGTCCCAAGACTAGGTTAACGTCTCCAGAGAGGGGAAGCGCAGAAACACCCTCCTTTTCGAGGATACAGCAGACTCTCTGGGGATGGACGAGGAATATTCGCTTATTCCTCGCTGAATTCCACCGCGCGAGCCAGAATAGCCCGCTGAAACCCCTGGCATGTCCGCCTGGCGTGTCACTCGTCATCCATGGCGGGTCGATCTAACGGGCGCTGCGCCGGTGACAGGCCCTCTGTAGTGGGGTAGAAGGATCCGGTTCCTGGAGCGTGAGGGGAACACGGCACGGCGAAGCCATAGAGATCGGTTCGACTTGTCGAGACGGTCAAGCTGTTGTTCCTGGATACTCAGCCAGAATCCATTGGCGTCAGGAATCTAATCTGCTATCATCGTGGAGGATCAGCATGCTTGCTAATTTACCCCCATGATGAGCCGTCCCACGCAACTGGTAAACTTTAGTCGTCGTCAGGTGATCCCCCTCTCCAAATCTTTGGGAGACTAGGGTTGAATTATGCAATCAAACGCAGGAATCATCGCACATTCAAGGAGTACGAATATCAACACGGAACCGATTATCTCTTACAGGTTTGCATCTTGTCATCCATATACGGGCAGCAAGACCTCAACTCCCCTCACCCTGTTGACGAGTGAGGGAAGCATGCTATGAGGGATTACGTATTCACATTACCACAGACCCGCCCAGCTCCGTCGCGACCCATTCTAGTGCAGCAAATTGCACCAGACTCTTGAATCTTGCACCATGATTTGCACAACGTTTCCGATGGAATCAATCATTCGCAAGGCAGATCTTGTGATTCTGGCTGGCTGGCCAAATGGTAAGGCGTCGGACTCCTAATCCGAAGATTCTGGGTTCGAGTCCCAGGTTGGTCGTTCATGATGTATTCCCAGCAACATGACCTTTTTGCTGCACAAGCTCGCCTTATCGTAGACCACCATCTTACTTTGTCGGTGTGCTTCTTCTTTCCTTCTGTGACTTTATAATAGGTGTCAGCTGTACTCGTCTGTGTGCTGAGGTTCTTGCTGAAAAACAAATCTTCTTTGGATTTTTATATGACCAAGGCTCTTGGATTTTGTCCGACTCACGTGGTATTGACTCCCGTGGTATTATCAAGTTTGTTTATTTCTTTTGTAACATCAAAGCCCAAACATTACTGGGCAACAAAACTGCCCAGATAGTCGGCCTTTCCTACCGGAACACCCTTGGATCTCAGAATCGCGTATCCTGCATTCAAGTGGAAGAAGAAGTTTGGAACTCCGTGGCTCAAAGCTGCCTCCTTCGCGGTAACCTTCAACGTCTTGCCACCAAAGATAGGCCTCAAATAATGTTAGATATCTCTTCTGTATTCTGTCTCGTTTCATGGAACAAGCACTCACAAGTCGACTTGCGAGTCAGCCTTGGCGTTAACAGTCGCCGCATCGACCTTGCTCAGGAGCTCCAGAGCATCCTTGATGCGCTTGTGGAGATCCGCGATAGTCTTCTCCGTGTTCTCGTACGGCTCCAACTCAACACCGGTCAGACGGCTGATGTTGGTCTTGACAGTCTTTGTCGCATTCTGGACCTGGAAAGTGAGGGGGAGTTGGTCCTCAACAAGACGAGCCTCTGGGTAAGTGTTGACATCCACATTGTTGGCCTTGGCATGCTCCTCAGCCTTTGTCAGGATGTGATCAAAGGTCTTGAGGCCCTTGGTGAAAGTGGGAATGACTGCGTCGTAGACGGTGACTGATGCCATTTTTTCGATGCTTCGATGTTAAGATGAGGGGAAATTGAGGAGAGGGCCGGAAGTCTCGGGAAACAGAGCGGGAGGTTTTTATAAGAGTTGATAGAGTTCAATCGTCTGTGTGACCGGCTTCGAAACATTGATCATGAAACGGATCTTCAGGCCATCTTATATAATTATGTAGATCAACAAAGCGGTACATCACGGATTGGTAAGTTGTACAGCAGGATTGCGTGCTTGGTAAGCTCTCTCATCAGTGCATCTGCAAGTCAATCTCACAACAAGCGGTCACCGACAGGAACGCATCTGATCTAACGCAGATCCCACGCCTTTTGGTAGGGTTCCTGATGTCGCGATGGTCCGGGGATGAGGGGCCTCCCTTGGGCTTTTCCTTTTACGGGCATTTGTTCTGCGGTTTACACCATCGTGGTGGAACGTCACGTTATCGGTTCTCAGATGGCGTCATCAGCCTCTCCTTCCAACCCCACGACATCGCTACGCGGGCTGCGTTGAATGGAACAATATGAACAAGAGCATGACTCTAAACTGATTAGCAATAGCTTTCTCCAATCACGTCGAATGGTTTCGTGCAGGGGAAGTATAGATGTTCAGACTCTTGGTCCGAAGTCGGGTTGAATCCCCAATGCCACAAAACTAGTGATGGCCAGTACCGTCGGATGATAGGAGCACCAGGCCTTGCAAAAGCCCGTGGTATGAGATAGATGCGGCTGCGTCCAACTGCAGCTTGTCATTTCTTGGGTCCTAAGAGCGAATCACCGGCTCATACATGTTGCGTGGTTTGTCGTGACAAAATTCTCTCCAAAGAAATGGCCGCAATCAATTTTGCTCTATGTGCTCGGCGTCCGCCGTTTCGTAGTAGCCCTATTATCCCTGATCATTTATACCGTCAAAGTTTGAAGACATTAAAGCTACAGACCTCGAAAACTCATTGCGATGCACCATCATCGTACTTAGGAGAAGCGGAGGTTCTCGCTACGATAGAGTGTTATCTCAATGATGCTGGCACCTGGTCATCATCCGACCTCTTTTTTAGAGTGATACTCACGTAGGCAGCACTGAATAGAAGATAATGTTTAGGGCGGAATTTAACTCCGAGTGTGATCATCGTTCTTTCGCATCCTCTAGCTTCTAAATGCTGCCGTGTGCCTACCCTATGGCACATTACCCGGAGTCGGCGAAGTCGTACTAACAGATTCAAAAGACTATGCTGAAATTTTACGAGCTCTCAATAGGTTCTAAGATTTAGTTATTCTGAGTTATTAGAGAAAAATGATTACATATAAAGACGACGTTTGAGTTGTGACTTTGAAGATTAGCTACACAAGATGTGTGCTTTGGAGATAGCAGACTAGAAGTATGTTCTAACTCTTTTTGCCCGGCCAAAGTATTATTCTCTTACGGAGCAGTTCGTTTGGACCCAGAAACCAAATACCTTTTTAGGAACTCTATCTAGGTAGCATGAGAAAACTTGAGAAAGGTAAGTTTCGAAGTATATTAAGTCTTAGACGTGGACCACTCCACAAGTTCAGCTCCCTACATCTCAAAACCAATCTGAACACGTCGGATATGTGACGACTTATTCATAGAAACCGTCAGGTTTTACGAAACCATCAGAACATGGGAGATCTCACCATGTGCCTTGAAAACCAAGAGAGACGTCTTGCATCGATGCTTCGCTCCCCCATTTGTTACTTAATTATAACCACCATATCGCGCCGCACATATGCATCGGGCCAAGGATGTGGAGAGTCAAGTGAAGACTATAGTGAGGGAATAACGGGCTTCCGACAGCCACAAACAACATATGGTCATTCAAGATTGAAGTATCCCGCGTGGAATAGCCGGAAGTGTCTATGACGACTGCTAAGGAAGGTGTTGCTCCTGTGTACCCTATGGCAGCCATGTTTAGTCTCGTGGGGGGTTGGCTAACATCTGCCGAACTTACCCCTCATCTGAATTCGTTCACCCAAACACCAGCCTTGCCAAACCTACCAATCCATGGAGATGCGCGGGTTACACTATTCTTTTCGGCTTTAAACCCGGCATGGCGGTCATGTCGGATTGCCGTGAGCCGTGGGTAGTGTGTCGACGAACCCCAATGTTACTGCAGTGGGTAATTCTCCCTTCAACCACGACAGACCTAGATCGCATGAGTAGGCATAGGCAAGCTCAGGCAACGTGTGACTTTCGTCGAAAGCACGATACCATTAGATAATTCACAGAAAGGATTCGACAGAGACTTGAAACCCTTCGATCATTCATCATGATCCAGAACGATGGTGTGCCGCATTGCACAACCAATGGCAACTCCCTAGGAGACCTGCAGTGAGTTTAGCTCTGTATCCTCCCATTTCAGCTATTGTAAGGGACATGCTCAAAGAAACTCGTGACAGGAAAGAAGTAGATTACTCATGGGCGGCTCCTCTTCTTGAGCGGACCATTGACGCTGATCGCAAAGTCCGGGTCATCTGCGTTGGCGCGGGTTTCAGTGGCATCGGGGCATCAATTCACCTGCGAGAGCATATACGAGACATTGACTTCCAGATTTACGAAGCTGCGGACGATGTCGGTGGAGTGTGGCATCACAATCGATACGCAGGCGCCGCCTGCGACATCCCAGCTCACAGCTATCAGTACTCCTTCTGCCAGAACACCCAGTGGTCGGAATTCTATGCGCCTGGCCTAGAGATCCACAGATACTTGAAGAGAGTTGTCGATCACTACAAGTTGCAAAGCCTCATCAAGCTGCGTCACAGAGTAGTTGGAGCCGAGTGGTCTCAGGATCGCGGAAAGTGGCTTGTCAGAGTGTTAGATCTAGACAAGAATGAGGAGAAAGTAGATGAGGCAGAATACTTTTTGTACGCCACTGGTCTCTTGTCAAAGCCCAAATGGCCGACGATTACGGGTAAGCTCACATCCTATAACTGAGATGCTTTAGATAATGCCCATCAAGGCGAGAACGGCTGGACTAACAAATAGTGAACAGGCCGAGAAAATTTCAGGGGCATTTTGCATCATTCTGCAAATTGGGATGCTGCCAAGGAGGAAGCTCAAGAAGGATTCTCCTGGAAAGACAAAAGAGTTGCTGTCATTGGCGTAGTAAGTCGTAGACACAGTCCTGATCGACAGTTCTTCAGTTTCTCTGACCATATTGCGCTTGTCTAGGGGTCTAGTGCAATTCAGATCATGCCACAAATGCAGAGGAAAGCGAAACATGTTACAAACTTTGTAAGGAGTCGCAGTAAGTACACCAATATTCGTCCGCGGGTATTATTGGCAATTGACTTACCAGACAACCATTACCAGCATGGATCTCGTCTACATTTGCCTCGGCCTTTCTTGAACGCCTCAATGAAGGTGCAGGCGCTAGTAATCGTAAGTCGGGACCTTCAGAGATTCAGAAAGTCGAGCTCTTTGATGCTGAAGTCATTCAGATGTATTCTCTCCTGAAGAAAGGAAAAGTTTTACGAATGAAGAGTTCTACTCTCAGTTCCGTCGAGAGTTAGAGAGAGGCCTCAACGCCGTGCACAAGATCACCGAACAGGGCCAACCATTGCAGCTGGAAGCGCGAAGAATCATAGAGGAAAAGATGCTGGAGAAGCTTGCATCCAAACCTGAGATTGCTGATAAGCTTATACCTGACTTCCCAGTTGCCTGCAAACGCCTCACGCCGGGGCCGGGTACGCTCACCAAAATCTTACTTGCACAACTCCTTCAATCGTCTTTGGCCCATCAAGAACAAAACTTGACTAACACAAGACAATTTCTTGCAGGTTATCTCGAGAGTCTAACAGCAGACAATGTTGAGTTCTGTTCTCAAGAGCTAGCATCGTTCACCGAGAAAGGTCTCATGACAGCAGATGGCCGCGAATTTGAATTCGACGCAATCATTTGCGCTACTGGCTTCGTGAGCTACATTCACTATTCAACGCCTCATTTCAGGATTAACACACGTAGAAAGGATGTCTCTGCCGTACCCAGCTTCCCGATCTATGGCTCTAACAACATCAATTTGCAAGACATGTGGGCCACAGATGTCAAACAGTACTTGGCTGTCTGCGTTCCTCAGATGCCTAACTTGTACGTCATTATTGAGCGTTCAAATTCCTTGGATATTGCAGCCGCTTACCTGTTTGACAGCTTCCCAATCCTAAGTGTCCAGTCTGGTGTTGGTTCAGGGTCCCTGCTCATCCTGATGGAGCAACAAATTGCCTACGTCACCAAGTGCATTCAAAAGTGCATCCGGGAAGGTTACAAGAGCATCGTAGTGAAGGATGACGCTGTCGAATCATTCCTTCAGTACGCAGACAATTACTTTGACAGGACTGTGTATTCAGGTGAGCCGCTTGTTACCAAGCTTTCTTGCACAAATCGACTGCCGGGAAAGAGACTAACTCCATCTACTATGATTATCACAATTCAGGCAATTGCAAATCATGGTACAAGAACGGAGCTTCTGGAAAGGCCAAGATCCGAACACTGTGGCCTGGGTCTTGTCTACACGGGTACACCGCGCTGCGTCACCCTCGATGGGAAGATTTCGAATACGAAAGGGGCGAAGACTATGATCATCGAATGGCATGGCTTGGCAACGGAGATGTCCGACCGGATCTTGATCGTGTGTTCTATTTGGACGAAATTTGGGCGATGCACAAGGTTTGTCCACAACAGGTTTTTACACATTTACTACCCCGTCACTTTACTGACTACGTCGATGGTAGGATCATCCAATGTTCAATGATTGAAGATTAGGGTAGGCATATTATGCGGGGGTTCACCCGCATATGCCCGCATCTAGGCATGTGTCAAATAAAGTAGAGTTTGCCGGTGGACTTAAGGTTGTTTCAAGACCGGTTCCAGGACACACATGGAGACAGAGAAACTTCCGGGGCAACATGAGTTTGTGTAATTACCTAGAGCAGGAAAGTTTTGTCTGCGGCCCCGTTTGCATGCGGACATCTTTGGACTCCACGGGATTGATTATGCCGCTCAAGGTGACGAATAGTTGTTTATCGACGACCAAAATAGCGATTAAAACATCCCAGTACAATATCTTTCAGGCCAAGACACAATCATGATTCAATTGAACAAAGCCTCGGAATTCAGAAGAAAAGCGGTGATTATTGAGCGTATTACAACATCCACGACGAACTTACGGTGGTTTATCAACAACAGCTTTGGCCCTCATTCGTTTCCAAATCAGGCCTTGACACACTCAATGACCTGCATCTTCATGTCCAGGCCATGAATCTTCTCAATTTTAAGTCCAGACCTAGCAACAAGCACCTCCCAGTCATTGGCTGTCCGTTCCTTGCCCCCAATTCCGAGCATGCTGAAGTCTGTCATGGCGCCAATGGGCGGGGGAGGGCTCGGAAGGACGTACTCGACGATGAGTACCTTACTGTCCGAACTCATGGCATCCGATAGCTGCGTGAGCATCGTGGCGCAGACATCGTCTCCATAGTCGTGCAGACATCGCCGGATCCAATAGATCAGTGCGTCTGCATGTGTCAGCTGATCTTCACGGACGCGGGCAAGACTTCGATAGCATGTAAACGTACTTCTGACAGGTTGCGCTTCGTGGAAGTCGTGTACCTGGAGGTGTACACCATCCAGCCCCGGATCTTTGAGGCCCGCAACCTGTTGAATCACCTCATCTCTGTCCTGGAGAACTATGCGATCGGCTGGAATAAAAGGGTTCTCCTTCATAATCGCCTTGATGGCGTGGCCCTTGCTGCCACCCACATCCACGAGAAGCGGTCTGTCATGCTGCTCAGACAGCTTCGTCGCCACCCAACCAAAGTCGTAAATACCAGTCAGAGGAATGAATGACTGCACCATCTCCATAACTCCCATGAACCTCTTCACCTGCGCAGGGTTCTCTTGGTGAATCTCCCAGATCTCTTTTTCTGGCTGACCGCGTGAGAATGCATAGGGAGTGTGCTGCCGAGTGGCCGGCTCCCGGCGGCCGTACTGTTCAAAGTACTCGGGCAGCTTCAGAGCCGTCATAACATGCTCTTCGAACCTGGCGAACATGTTAGACGGTTGGTCATTGAATGAGAGAGTCTACTCAAGTCTCACATCATGTGTAGCAGGAGTTCATTAGATGTCCCGGGAAGATACTGGCGTGATTTCTCTGTATGCGCGATCTTGTCGTCATCCACCTGACGCAACATCCCGCTGGAAACAAGCACCCAGGCTAGCCGTCCTTTATTGCTGTCAATTTCGACGTTCATCGACAGGTTGAGCAGTTGAGTGAGCCGACTTACGAAGTAAAGGCTCATCCGCGGACAGCTTTTTGGCCAACTCAGCATATGTGATAGCGCCCTCCAATGGTATCATGGCCAGGGCGTTCCAGTCAAGGAGCAATTTAAGTCCAGTCAGTTCCATGACATTAATCATCCGGTCCATCCAGTCTGGTGTCGGTCCTCGAGCTGCCGCGAGGATCCTTTGAGCTATGTCAACGGCGGCGCTGTTTTTTTCAACATCGCTTGACGCCGAGCTTGCCAGCTGCGAAAGCTGAGTTGCTAGCGTATTGAAGGTCTTGGAGAGGTCAATCATGATATAACTGCGGTTGAGGTGATGAATCTGGTTCACTGAGACGTGTGTTTGCAAGGTTTTGAACCAGGACTTGGTGACGAAAACTATACGAGTCTATGATATCTCTCCCCTCCAATATATATTTACGTGCTACAATGCAAAAGGGGCACCTCAGCCTGAGGTTCGGCTTACATGGAGCGGGAACGAATTCACCGAGCGAAATTACCGAGTCCCGGGTAGATCTCGGGAGGCCGATAGTCGCCCCGCTCTGCCGTTATCCCCGCGCCGAGAGCGGGGCCGAATCCTTCGGGCTTTTGGCAAGGGAGCCGCTGTCTCCTTAGTTGTGGAAAATACGCGGGTAACCCCCGAAAAGACCGTAGGGCATTCCCGGAGATGTCCAGCTGTGTTTGTCAGTCGATACCCTCAGCCTCCCGAGCTCCAGTCAGCTGAAGTGCGAATCGCATTCCACAGATGGCTGTCACATCAGCTTACTCAGTGGTTCTCGTCCCATTCGTTGGCCGCCTTTGCCGCCATTCCGGTACGGCGAATAATCGCACTCGCATCGGCATCAAGCTCTCGACTCGATGTAGTCAGGGACATGACCTGAGAACGGCACTACCACGGCTCTGTCTGACAGTCTTCTCGAACAATTCCCGCGTTCCATTCTCTCTCTGCAGCGACCCTGAAGGGAACGGATAGGCCGTGTTCCCGCGCAGTCTGCAACCCAACACCAAACCCCAAAGCCGCGTTTGCCAATTTGCAATCCCCCCCCCCCCCCTTTGCCTCTTGTTCTGCTTCCAGGCGACTCATGAATTGCCAGAAGAGGGAAATGGGTGGTCGAAGGAGGCGACGCATAGCCCATCATGCAGGGTCATTGGGCAACAGAGACCGACGGGGCCAATCTGTTCTGTCTTGGCAGTCTCTGCTCTGGTCTTCCGGCCTTCCTGTCGTGTTCCGGTTCGATGTTTGTCAATGAACGGAGGGGCCTTGCGTCGCTGGATATGGGTGGCAGCCGATCATCCGTCACGCCTTGTCAGCCGATTAGGCCATATGCGACCAAGACACGCCAAAACCGGCGGCGACATCATCGCTTCCCCAGCTGCACAGGGTATGACCGGCCAAGACGATGCCGCGCATTCCCCAGATGAAGAATCTGCAAGCCACGAGAGGCAATAGGTACCCTGGTGGAGCTAGAGATGCCATACTGGCCTTCGTTTTCGTGGGGATCGGTAGTTTCCTCATACATCTTACCCCGTTTCCCTTAGTGCTAAGGTTAAATCTAGTGCCATTTTGGCACAGAGCCGTGAGCCGTGGGCCGTCAACTAGTGCTTGGTCTCCGCCCTCGTAACCCTTGCGGCGATCTAGAGCCTGACCCCGTTTGAACCTGTTTGGAGGCCATCCCGGTTACGCGAAGCCCACCAACCTGGAGAGAGTTTCTCCTCTAAATTACCCGAATAGGAAACCCATACATTGGTCCTGAAGACCTTTCCCTGGCTTGTGCGCGGGAGGCTGGGTGATGGGCTCTGGGGTGATGAGTTGTTTGCTGCATTTGAGTGCCCAGATCGTCGGCAAGTCCCTGTAAGCCATCGGCGAATGACAGATGTCGTCGCGCCTGAAGTTCTTTGACTCTCTGACTCGAATCGTTGGTGAAGAGGTGTGGTGGTGCAGACCAACCCCAAAACGGTAAGATGGTGAGAAGAAGACAGAGCCTCAACCCTGCGGTCTTCCCCCATTGCCACACATTGTCCGGAGGGAGGTCCTTGGCATGGGAATCTCAACGTCTCCAAACGTCTCACGATTTCGTTAACAAACGTTGCCGCTCAGACATGGGGCTCCTTGTACCTTTCCCAAATGGTAGCTGCAGTCGACCTTGTGAGACGACTTACACGGCCGAGTTTCGTTTCATCTGAACTTCAACGCTCGCAAGCGCGCACAACTGACTATTTTCCTCCCCACACCAACGGCAGACATAACACAAATTCGCACACACTTTGACATGGCGCAATCCTGGATCCGTCAATACACACCGGTAGGGGGGGGCGACATAATGGCCAATACGCCATGGAAACTAGTGCTGCTCCCCTCAACTCAACGACGACAGCCAAGATGATGCAGCTGACTTGGACGTGAAGACTGGGCCCAACGTGGCACGTAATCCGTGCCCCTCCTCCACCACAGAAACAAGGGAGGGCTCTCGAACACCTTGAGACGTCCGAAGAAACTGCCCGCAAGCCGTGGTGCCGTTGGTCTGGTGCGATAATAATATCCACACCTCTATGGTTTCCATCGTCTCAGGCTCCGGGGGCTGTGCGTATATTGGGCCTATCTTGGTGCAGGGGACTTAGAGTTGCTGCCGAGGTGAACTCACCAAGATGTGCTTCACTGCTTTTGCCCGTGGCATATGAGGTCAGCGCGCAGCCATCCGGTCACTCATATATCAGCTTGATAGTTCCCGGCTCACAATCGGGGATGAAAAAGCATCCTCATCCATCAAACCTTGTCAGCACAGACTTTTCCAACGCTTCTTACTTATATACTCCCGGGTTGGAGACTTGTTTCTACATCTTACTCTATTCTCTAATCATCCCTTGATACCACAACAGATCACTCTGGCTAGTGACTTATTACCAAAATGCAGCTGACCAAGACTCTCCTCTTCGCCCTCGTCGGCACCGCCTTCGCCTCCCCGATCGAGAAGCGTCAACTCTCCGTCATCCAGGGCGCCGTCACCTCCGTCCAGGGAGCTCTCACCAAGCTCAACACCGCTGTCCAGGTATGTTAGTCCGAAGATCGGGCATACGGTACCGTCGGAAAGCTTCGGCTTCGATCTGGTGCAGAGATGGGATATGCAGGAACATCGCATACCGGACATTTTGACTAACATGCATGCTTCAGGGCGTTGGTAACGATGTTGCATCCGCACAACCCATTCTGGCTGCCTCCACCGAGGTCCAGAACACCCTGTCAAAGGCCGCCACCGACATTCAGGGTGCTCAGCCTCTTCAGCTTCAGGAGGCTCTCGGACTCCAGCAGACCGCTACCGATCTGACCTCGTCCGCAACCACCTTGATTGACACTCTCGTCTCCAAGAAGCCCAACTTCGACCAGATTGGTGTCTCCAGCGTTGTCCTCCAGAACCTCCAGCAACAGAAGACCGCCTCCGCCAGCCTCGGAACCGCCATTGTCTCCAAGGTTCCCGCTATCG